TGTCAAGAGTTTTCTCAGCCCCACCTACCTCACAGGGTGTCTGTTGTGGGGAGGGGAAGGGAAAGGAGTTTGTAAGCCGCTCTGAGACACCTTTGGGTAGTGAAGAGCGGGGTATAAATCCAATCTCTTCTTCTTCTTCTTCAGACAAAATGGCTCTCAAAAACTTGTTAACAAAGCATGAAGGCACCTTTGCCGCCACCCCCCCTCCACTTCTGGCAGCTGGTATTCAGAGTTCATCTGCCTCCAGACATGGAGGTTTCACTTAGCTATCGTAGCAAGTAAGAGGTGTGTTATTGGCCTGGGCAGAGCTGGACTGTAGCAGGCAAGAGAAGCTTTTGGTGGGTGGAGCCAAGAAAGGTACAGTGGAGGAGAATTGGAAAGACACACAGATAGGAGACAAGGGAAAACTTAGCTTGGCCGTCACATTCTTCTCCCTCACACCCCTGGAACATTAACTGTACTGCACGCAACCCCGCAGCTGAGATTAGGGATTATTTTGCCAGATTCCTTATTCAGAAGGAAACTGAAATCCTCCATTCACTGCCAAGTCCAGTTTAATATACCTAACTGCTCAGACTGGTGCAAACAGCTTGATCTTCAAAGGGAATGCCTTGTCACCACCAACCCCTGACATCAAAATGCAACAAAATTAGAACATCCAAGCCTCCTGAAGGACTTATCAAAGACGATCCCTCATGTGCTGTAACCAAGAGCTGGGGAGCTGACCAACAGGGTTTAAAACCCATATCTTCCCCGTTACATTTGCTCCAAATAAAACAATTTGCCGGAATTTTAAAGTATAAATTAGTAGTTTACCTTGCAAAGTGTTTAGTCCTGGATACAGTTTCCAAGAATAAAACAAATAAGCGAGATTCCAGAGGCCACAATTTAAAGACTTTGGCTCAGGCTTTAACCCCAAACCATGGGCTGTGGTTCCATGACCTTGAAGGAGCTATACAGAGCTTGCTCACATGATCCCACCACCTCCCCTGTCACGCTGTGGGCAAATTGAACTTCCAACCGAGGGTGTGTGTGTACAGTTTGCATAGACCGTACTTTGCTGATTCAGATGTTAAAAGCAAACAGGTTTTGCCAAATTGCTACATGCTTGCAGCGTGCAAGGGAGGGAGGGGGACTGCACAAGCAAGGCTGAGGGTTTCTTCAGGCTCCTTCACACTGGCACTATGTCTGCATCAAAGCAAAGGAAATCCTAGGCTAGATTCAAGAATACATGTATACAGGGCCAGTTCCAGGGAGCCCTGGATAGAGAGTGGCCAAGGGTGCGCCTCCTGCTCTGACCCCCACCAGGACCCCCACTCACACCTTCTTCCCAGCCCACCCACATCCCATCTGCCGGCATGTCCTTCCTTCCTTCACTCATCACAAGCATTTTCATTGATCATATGTCATTTCCCCAATAGTGCTGGTTGGTGTGTGCAGACAGGAACACTTAAGCCTGTCCCTGCAAGAAGTGCCACCACTGTACACCACCCGCAGGTCCTTCCCTGGCAGTATTTTATTTATTTTTTGTTATATTTATACCCCGCCCTTCCAGCCAAGGGCGGCTCAGGGTGACTTACAGAAAGAATAAAACAATAGGTATAATTTAAATAATCCTAAAACCATATCAACAATTTCAACATTAAAAGGTGCTAGCAGACGGTGATCCTAATGAATTATTAAAAGATTAACAATTTAAAATTAAATTTAAGATGGCGGCCATCCTTCATTATACCATCCTAGTGGTCAATATAGTGGTCAATATAGTGGTCATCCTAGTGGTCAATATAGTGTTCATTATACCATCCTAGTGGTCAAGTATGCTTGGAGCATTACCAGTCAGTGCCATCTCACAGAGGGGCAGTTGGCTTTCCAATAGGAAGTAATGCCATACACCCTTCATATAAAAATCACTCCAGATAGGAATTAAATCTATCACATAAGCCTGGCCTAGGACAAGGAATGAATG